GGGGTCTAACTTCCCTTGCTGTTCGATGGCATCATGTTAGTGCCTGGGGAAATCTGGGGTTCGGTGCTCATGGACTGGGTCCTGGTGTGCTGTTTGCAGTATGGACCCAACAAAAAAACCAGTTGTTATCCCAGGGAATTCTGCCACAGAGACCCCTAATCTGTTTTCTGCCAGGTATTGGGAGCTGATATTGTGAGACATCAGTGTTTGATCTGTGACCAGAAATCACCTGATAAGGGATTTATTTTTCCACTACTATTAGAAAGGTTTCCCTGTAGAAGGTTTCCCACCCTTTGAGACAGCCTTTTTGGAGCTCTGTGCCCTCTGTACCCGTCCCTCTGCCAGCTGTAATCCTTCCTTTTGGGTTGGGACATTCCCAAACAGCAAAGCATGTGGCTTGATTCTGCTGGCTTTTTGTTCCTCCATTACAGTCCACAGTGACACTGAAGAAGAAAAAGCCTCTTCTTTCTAAAAGGATGCTCCTCTCAAAGGAGGTTGGAGATATAACAGGTACCAGAGGCAGCAGGAGGTGGGGTGGGCTTTACCTCTAAAACACCAAATGTGTGGTTTCCCCTGGAGGGCTGAAGGCTGGGCAGTAGGAACACTCGGGCTCTTTAATTGAAGAAGTTCAGTCTACAAAGCAAAAAAGGCTTTTTTTTTTTAAGTATAACCCAAGGAGAAAATTTAACATTCTCCAACAGGTATGTATTACCAAAAAGTACCATCAAATGAGACTCTTTCCAGTTTGTTTCATCATTTAGGAAGAGGTTTTTTTAACCAAGAGGCTGTCCTGTGGCAGAGGAGAGCTCAGGCTGGCACCACGGCGCTCAGCCCTCGGGCTCTGAGCAAGGATCTGCCAAGGAGCCCAAGGGCTGGTACACCCTTGAAACTCAATGGGATTTGGATGCCTAAAGGCTTGGAAAATCCCAGACTTTGAAGCTAAAGTAGGCACTAACAAAAAAACAGCTAAAAAAAAATAATAAAATAATAAAAGGCAGGCTGCTGCTGGGGAGGCAGCGGGAGCTCTGAGTTTTGGACCCGAAACAAGGCAGCGGGAGGCTCCACCAGCATGAGGGTGCAGAAAAACTCCATCCCCACCATCTCCTGCCCCACCAGGAATGGCAGGAATGGTCCCTCTGAACCATTTCCAAACCCATGAGCGTCTCTTGTGTGGGAATGATCCAGAGCCCTTGGCTGGAGACACTCGCCTGGTGAGAGTGCGTGAGGAAAACATTAAAAATGTCCTTTTTTTCGTTGAGAAGAATCTTAGCACATTAAAAGTTGGAGAACTCATCTTCATTATTTCTCTTTAAAGTTACTTATGAATTGAGAATGGCTCTGCTCATATTTCTCTTTTATTTGCTATCTCCCCAGGCTAAAGTGTTGTCTATTTATCTTACAGATTAGGTTACTTTTTATGGGGTTCTTGCTATTATATTTCACCTCTAACTTTGTTAGTTTGTGTTTGATATTAAATTATGTTGAATAAAATGGGCAGCTCAAGGACATTTTTCAGCTCCATCCCGAAATGAAGCTCTTAATCCTGTTTCTGGCCCTGCCCCTGCAGCCCAGCCCGGGGGCCAGGACTGGGTCCCTAAGAAGGGCAGCAGAGGAGTGTTTCTACCAACCATGGGTTCTGTGGGGTGAAGCTGCAGGAGGATTGTGCCTGTAAAACCATTTGGTTCATGTACAGTGATTTTTTGGAGGCATCTCCTTAGAAAACGGGCTCTGATAATATTGACATCGTCGCAAGATGAGATCCAGGACTAGTTAAATCACAGCCTCGCAACTCGGTGCTCCTCTGGGGATTAGGAGAAGTCGCTGAGCTGTCACTCCAAAGCTGATCACGGGCTCGTTTAACTATGTCATCCCCTAAGACAGCCCTTTCAATTATGTCAACCTGTCTGCTCTCCCTAGACTCTAATTTTAGAGCAGCAGTAGCTAATATTCTTGGAAAACCGATCCGCCTCCACAGCTCTCTCCTCTCTGCTGCTGTTGGCGGAGTATCCTGTGGGGAGACCGCGCCGCTTTACTTCCCCTCCTGTAATAAACCTCATAAAAATAGGTACCATTAGGTTCCTTGGTGTGTGGTCTCTTTAAGACACTTATCTGGGCTATGTAATGGAGATGTCACTTCTCCTCCACAGAGGGATCTGGCAGCACCACAGGGTCACCGCAATAAAAATAAAATTCAGTTTTAAAAGCCTGGTACGGAATTATGAGCTGGGAAGCGGGACGATGGGATCGGAGTTCAGAGACCTGGAGGAGGTGAATGTGAGCTGGAGTCACCCCAATGTTAATGCTGCAGCGGTGGCTCCGCGGTGGGAGCAGCGGGAGGGACACTCCTGGATGGAGTAGGAGGACCACAGGTGGTGGGATGGCCCTGGGGACTCCATGGACACGTCTGCTGGATGGAGCAGGAGGACCACAGGTGGTGGGGTGGCCCTGGGGACTCCATGGACACGTCTGCTGGATGGTGCTGGGGGGAGTTTGGGGTGCACAAGGTGGAGAGGAGGGGGTGGACCTGGCCATCTCGGCCACCGGTATCTCTGTGCTGTGTGTCCTGTCCTAAAGCACTTTGGTGGGAGGGGACAGCCTTGCCCTAGAGGTGGGATGGAGCCAGCCACATCCCTGGCTCCCCATCCATGCTGTGTCCATCACTGGCAGTGATTTGGGATCTCTGTCCCCCAGTATCCCACAACGTCCCCCTGCCCTCACAGGCTGGAAACGAAGCCACTGTCCCATTTGGGTTGTCCGTTGTGTCTGCCATGGCATTCAGAAGCAGCCAGGACTTTCTCCAGCCATGCAATTGGACCCGCCATGACAGAGGGGATAGGGAAGGCCTTTGAAGATCTTCTGTCTCTCCTCAGGGCAGTGTGACAGTCCCTTTAGCTGGGTCAAGTCTCCCTTGGCCATCGTTCCTCCGTGCTTGGCCTCCACCGGGCTGGACTGGCCATACTGGAGGACAGTGGTGTGCAGGTCTGAGGCTGCCAGAGGATTTTCTGTTTTCTGCAGAGCCATTCAAGCCTCCTCCAAAATAAGTGGGAGCAGTGAGAGGGACGCTCCTGGATGGAGCAGGAGGACCACAGGTGGTAAGGTGGCCCTGGGGACTCCATGGACACGTCTGGGTGGGAGCAGCGGGAGGGACACTCCTGGATGGAGTAGGAGGACCACAGGTGGTGGGATGGCCCTGGGGACTCCATGGACACGTCTGCTGGATGGAGCAGGAGGACCACAGGTGGTGGGGTGGCCCTGGAGACTCCACAGACACGTCTGCTGGATGGTGCTGGGAGGAGTTTGGGGTGCACAAGGTGGAGAGGAGGTGCTGGGGGGAGTTTGGGGTGCACAAGGTGGAGAGGAGGTGGGTGGACCTGGCCGTCTCTGCCACCAGCATCTCTGTGCTGTGTGTCCTGTCCTAAAGCACCTTGGTGGGAAGGGGACAGCCGTGCCCTAGAGGTGGGATGGAGCCAGCTGCATCCCTGGCTCCCCATCCATGCTGTGTCCATCACTGGCAGTGATTTGGGATCTCTGTCCCCCAGTATCCCACAACGTCCCCCTGCCCTCACAGGCTGGAAACGAAGCCACTGTCCCATTTGGGTTGTCCGTTGTGTCTGCCATGGCATTCAGAAGCAGCCAGGACTTTCTCCAGCCATGCAATTGGACCCGCCATGACAGAGGGGATAGGGAAGGCCTTTGAAGATCTTCTGTCTCTCCTCAGGGCAGTGTGACAGTCCCTTTAGCTGGGTCAAGTCTCCCTTGGCCATCGTTCCTCCGTGCTTGGCCTCCACCGGGCTGGACTGGCCATACTGGAGGACAGTGGTGTGCAGGTCTGAGGCTGCCAGAGGATTTTCTGTTTTCTGCAGAGCAATTCAAGCCTCCTCCAAAATAGCAGCTCTTGAGTTTGAAGGAGGAAACATCTGGGAAGCTGAGGAGGGCTGTGATGCTCTCAGGGGTGTTCTATTCCCCCTTTAGGATGCAGTGTGGGTCCTGAGGCAGTCCAAGCTGCTGAGGTGGGGTGGATGGTGGTGTTTATCCCCCATAGAGCCACCAAGAGGCAATCCCAGGTCCCATGGGAGAGGAAGGGAAGGACAAAGAGCAGAACCACAAGACAAAGCAAAAAAAGCAGTAGCTCTCCTCCTCCAAAAAACTGGAAAAGGAGTAAAATGGATGGAAGGAAAAAGAGGAGGCAGAGAAATGGTGCAGAGACAAGGGAGGGAGGTGACCCCCATCCATCCCACCCAGTGTCACCACTCTGGTGGCAAAGGCCAGGCCTTCCCTTTGCAGATCAGGTTGTATGAAACCCCGGGCTGCCGGGGAATGGTGCCTCCTCCAGACTCCAGCAAGTGAGTTACACCCAGCTTTCCTTTCATAAATCCGTGTTGGCTGCCCCTAATCAAATTCTGCTTCTCAAGCAATTTCCCTTGCTAATTCCTCCTGAATCAGTTCTAACCCACCTATCCCCCTTGTCGCTAAGCTAGCCAGCCTCTAATCACCCGCTGCACTGGGTGATCCTTTCCCCAGTAATACGGGGTTCGGCACTTTTCCTCCGGTTCTCAGCAGCCTAACCTGTCAGGAGCAACCTGCTAAAAATATCACTAAAGACCTCGGCTAATTTCTAATCCTCGTTTCTATTAAGACGGCTGCCTGTACTACGGGGGTTTCTCAGACTTGGGATTTACAGTCTTCCTTAAGAGCATCTAATCTGCGCAGAGCCCTTTCTGTTGTTATCCCTACGCAAGCTCCTCCCTTCCCCACCACAATGGATGATCCCTCTCCCAGCGACTCTCATCAGCCAGGGATGCCACCAGCCTCCTCCTCCTCTCCTCCCAGCTTGCCCAGCCAGGATTTGGCAAGCCTTCCTGGGGCGGTCACTGGGGTCCCAACTCCTCCCGGGCACTGGGTGGGTGCTTCGTGTGAGAAGAACCACCCTGCAAGGGATTTTCTTGGCACGTCCCAAGTTCTTGAGTTTTGTGTAGAGTGGGGCTGATGTACAGATGCGTAATTGCCGGGGCTGGACCGGCGCTGCGCCCAGCGCTCCTGCCGCCGCCTGGGTGAGCAACGGGGCCGCTCCGGGCGGCGAGGGGACCGGGGGGGGACCGGGGGGGAACCGGGGACCCGCAGCCCGGGGGTGCGCGGGTGGGTGCGGGCACCGGCGCTGCCTCCCCGACCGGGGAAGGGGGTGTGTAAATAGTAGAGTGGGGCTGATGTACAGATGCGTAATGGAATGAAGGACCTCATGTAACCATCACTTTCTGGATATTTATTGCTGTTTTCTCCTTCTTTTTAATACTCTCCCTCATCCCCAGCTCTCAAACCCAGCCAGGTCAGAAGAAGACAGGGGGTGAGAGTGCCATGCTCTGGCTGCCCCCCACCGCCCCAGTGGACACCAGGTAACTGGCTCAGCTCAGGCAAGGGAAATCCTTTCAACCACATGCCACCGGCCAGAGGACCCTGGTGGAAGGTGCTACGTGGCCGTATCATCTGTGTGGTAAAAGGAGCACCCACTGCTCGGGCTCTCCCTGGGCTTGAGACCGCCAGGGTTTGCATCGAGGGTGACCCAAAAGGCAGGTTCTGCTGGCGGGGAGAAGGACAGCCAAGGGTGCAAGCCAAGGATGTGACCATCAGCAGATGAACAGCACAATGTCTGATGGAAACATCTACCACGGCAGCAGAACGCTCTCCTAGGACACAGCCAGACAAGGATGGCTCCAGCTTACACACTCAGAGCAGCACCAGCCCCATTCCTTCAGCTCCTGGTTACACAGACGTGGTGAGAAGGAACTATCTAAATCAGAGGACAACACTGCTTTGGGGGCAGATGGCCAGGGAAACTTCTAAACTTGAAGCTTTAAGCTGTCTTTTCATCATGAGACCGGCGAGGTGGTGGGGCAGCCTTCTGATGGGAATGAACGGCTTTTAACGTCAGGTTTGGTGTGTTTATGAAGGGAATTACGGGGAGTAGTTAAGTGCTTAATAGCAGCCTGAATTGAATGACCCAGAAGGTCTCTTCTCACATCCGTCTCCAAAATCTACGTGTCTGTAGCCGAGCTGGGCAGGACTCGGTCTGCTTGGCACAGCTCTGCCTTCACCCTGCTCCCAGGCCTGAGCTGGTGTCTCCCTGGGGGGCTACATCATGGCAACCTGGCAACTTCCCCCTCACCAACATCCCCATCCCCATCCCATTCCCATCCCCATGCCCATTGTATCCCCATCTCATCCCATTCCCAACTCCATCCCCATCCCCATCCCCATCCCTATCCCTATCCTTATCCCTATCCCTATCCCCATCTCCATCCCATCCCTATCCAATCCCATCCCCATCCAATCCCATCCCATCCCATCCCATCCCATCCCCATCATATCCCCATCCCATTCCCAACTCCATCCCCATCCTCATCCCATCCTCATTCCCAACTCCATCCCCATTCCCAACTCCATCCCCATCCCCATCTCCATCCCATTCCCATCCCATCCCCATTCCCATTCCCATTCCCATTCCCATTCCCATTCCCATCTCCATCCCCGCCCCGCCGCGGCCCCGCCCCTGCGCATGACTCAGCACGCCCCGCGGCCTCCCATTGGCCGCCCGCCTAGAACGCGTCGCAGCCGGCGACGGCG